GTGCTTCTTCCTCTCTTCTCCCACTGCGCCAGGCCCTGTAGCTGCCCCAACCCCGTGGACGCCCAGGGCATGGGCAGAGGACAGTGGCCCTGATGTCCAGGGACAGACAACAGAGGGTACAGCGAACAGGTCCCCACTTGGTGATGGGGACATCCAGTTCCTGCTGCGTGCTTTGGTTTGTGACAGCAGCAGTGGCCACACGGGGAGAGCCACACCCCTGCCAGCGGAGGCTGGGCTGGTCACCGGAGCACAGACGCCAGGGCGGAGCCAGGAGGGGACTCAGGAAGAACACTGCCTCCTTGTGGTTGCTGGAGAACCAGGCATGTTCTTTCTCTTTCTTTTTTTAAAAAAAGAATATATGTCTATTTTGGAAACGATGGGAGCAATTTTGGAGTAAAAAAGGCTGCACAATATAAGGATCTAAGAGGAAATAAACTTTATTTTTTATTTTTATTAAAAAAAAAGAAACCACACAGTTGAGATCTAGTAAGAACAGAGTATCTCACATGATCTTGCTTTTCAAAAAAAAAAAATTATTATAAACTTAAGACTTTAACATTTAAAAATAATATTCGATAAAAGCCATAAATTTGGTTTTATCTTTAACCAAACTTATTAGTTCCATATTTAGCAAAGATCAATTTTGATCAGGCCTTATAAAAAGGGCATATTGAAGATTTTATGCAAACACATTTTCAATATTTCCATATGAAATATAATAGTAAAAATAATAGATAAATACATATTTTTCTTTATCCTTTCCCTAGGAATTTTATGGTCATTTCGTTTGTCATGCACATACAAACTCACACACATATCCCAAAAAAAAAAAAAAAAAAAAAAAAAAAAAAACCCACACAAAAAAAAAAAAAAAAAAAAAAAAAGAGAGAACCAGGCATGGGCTGGCGGCAATCCGGGAGGGAGCCCCAGCCTGTCCCTGGTGGCCAGGGGGACTCATCCTTAGCCAGGGGGCCTCATCTGTAGCCAGGGGGGCGTGAGCAGGGAGCGGCAGCCGCTGTGTCACCTAAGGCTCCGAGATCAGAGCCCCCACCCCAGACTCAGTTCTGGGGCCTGAAACTTCCATGGTTAGATGGTGATGGAAAGCCTTCCTTCACAGGAAAAAAGATCAGATGACAAATTCTAAAGAATGAAGATGAATATAAACAGAAACATTAAAAAATCATCACAAAGCTTAAAAAGCTGGAAAACACAACACAATATTCAGTGACAGTGTTTTATTCACGAAGCACCTTTGATGAATAAGCAATTGACCGATGGCATTTCCCCATTTCGTGGTGGCCGGTTCACGCCTTTGTGGAATGCCCGCTTCCTCCTGCAGGGCTGCCCAGATTTGTTTCTAACCCCAGCTCCTGGAAGGCCTCCCCCACCCGCCCCCCATCACAGCCCGCCGTGGTGAGGACGATCGTGGGCGTGGGCCGGGCAGCAGGAGCAGCATTTTCTCCCGCTGCCGTCCCCACACCTCCCAGGCTGGGAGGACGTGTCTGCCTCGCCATGTGACCTCTGGCCCTGGCCATCCTGTCCCGGGACTCCCTGCTGCTCCTGCAGGCAGAGACGCTGTGACTGGGAACCCCGAAACGGCTCCCAGCAGATGGAGCCAAGTGCGTGTCCAGCTCAGCCTCCCCTCTGGGGGCCCCACACACCCCCAGCTCCTCAGGGACCCTCGAGGTGAAAGGAGTGTTATGACGGACCCAGTGGAAGGGGCCGCCAGCCCCAAATACGGATGACCAAGTCTTCCGCGAGTTTTACAAGATGACAGAACTTTGTGAGCGCATTGGCAGGGTCCCAGAGCTCAGCATTCCTGGTGGTTCTGGCACATGTCCCCTGCATGTGGACCACACAGTCCACGACCTCGACGAGCTGGCGCTGGACTGGACGCCCCCTCTCCTGTGGGAGCCCAGAGACCTTGGCCTCCTCCTGCCTAGGGCTCAGCCCGAGAGCAGAGCTTCTCAGGTCCTGGTCACCGTGGCTGAAGCAGGCTCTCTGGGAGGAAGAACCAGCTCTGCCTGGAATTCTCCATTTCTATCAGGGAGGCTGGGCTGACGGCCGGGGCCCAGAGGGGGGAATGCTTCAACACAGGCCAGAGGAACCAGCCCCACCTGCCCAGGGCCACCCTGTCACCCTCCAGACCAGCTGTCCCCAGGAACAGGATCTACTGACTCTCACACCCCACCCAGCAGACCCAGATTCCGGGGGCAGCTGAGGGGGGAGGCGGCGGAAGTGCAAGTTCCGAGTCCCAGCGGACTTGGTGGGGACCCAGAAACCCAGCCTGAGCAAGCCCTCTGGGCGGTTCTCACGAGTCTGGACCTGCCAGCTTGACCTCTGACCTGGCCCCGGCCGCAGGACTGGCCACCCTGGCTGGGGTCATGAGAGGCTGTGATAGCCGGCAGTCCTTGGCCTGCTCCTAGGGGGTCTTCAGGGCCAGGGCCAGGTGGGTTTCTTTTCTTCCCCACTAACAGGGCAAGACAGGGATTGGGGGCTTTGCCCTGTGCCCCTCCCCCTCCTGCCTGCCTTATGCCACCTGGGGGCCACAAGACCGCTCCCCCAACACAGCCCCTGTCCATTTGAGGCCACCCCCAGTCCTGTCCCCAGCCCTCCTTCTTAGAAAACATCCCTGTCCCTACTGGTCGGTGTCCATTTTCCTGGAAAATAGCTGTATGGCCTAAAAGACCTTTGAACTTAATCTGTGCAATAGGGAGGGTTGGCCTCCTGGACCTCCCAAGGCCCGGCTCTCTGCTGCTTTCTCTCCGGGAAGGAGCCCCTCCCAGCCTGGCCTTCTGCGTCCAGCTCTACCGTGCCCTCCAGGTGTCCGGGACGCAGGAGGAGGCTGTGGGGAAGGGCCTGTGTGGAGGGCACTGTGTGAAGGGGCTGTGTGGAGGGGCTGGGTGGAGGGGGCTGGGTGGAGGGGGCTGTGTGGAGGGG